ACTAGAGGAAACAATTGCGACGATGAACAGTAACGAAAATCGATCGAGGAATCGATCGCTCAACCAGTTCGCGTCGCACTTCTCATCCGTGCAGCTTGCATCGCCCAATTCCGATCATTCTCGTTCAAGTGGAGATCGCTACAGTTGTAGAAGACCTGTTCATACTGGAAGAAAGGTTGAATTACCGCGGTTTAAGGGGGATGATGCGGGCAGTTGGATTGTTAAGATGGAAGAGTATTTCCGTCTCAAGGCTACTGCTGAAAAAAATAAGGTGGTAGTAGCGGAAGGTGCGATGGAGGAAAGAGCATTAGCCTGGTTTCCATGGTGGTATACTCAAACGACTGAAAAGAGTTGGAAGGCTCTGAAGGAAGCCATAAAGCTGCGTTTCCAACCTATACGCAGTCAGAGGACAGAGAACGAGAATCAGGAATCATCGACGAGAACTTCTATCAGTTCACAGAAGTCTTCGCCAACAACTTCCTTCAGTTCCAGATTATTGATAACTGCACAGGTTTTTTATAAATCGCGAGAAACTACTTCTTCTAGTTCTCAGGTGTCTTCTCGCAGTTCGCAATCAGTTGCATCATTTCCTCATAAGTATGTGAGTCAACGGCAAACTCTTGAGGAGATGAGTTCAAAGCGAGTCAGAGAAGACGCATCTAAGTTCAACGAGAGTGACAATGAATGCCAGGGACAATTATCGCCAACATCTGTCAGTTCGCAGGCTTCGGCAACCAATTTAATGAAGACGCAATCGAGATATGAACCTCCCAGTTCGCAGATTTCAACCCAATCAGAGTTTCATATGGCGCAAGTTTCATCGTACCTTAAGGAATCACCTGAGGATACATTCATCAAAAGTGATGAGGAACGTGAGGATAAAACTTCTGTGGTGATTCAGTCCATTACCATGGAATATGAATCTGCCCTTGTTAAAATGGTTGGTTCAAATACTTGGGAAAGCTCTACCAGGACTGTTTGTATAGAGGAGACTGAGGAAATAGAAGAGAATGAATCCAAGTCTGAGAATAAGGAGGACAAAATTGAAATGCAAAACCAAAATAATTTCTCTGCGGGGTTTGATAGTTTGAGTTATGATCAAGGTTATTATTCTGAACATCTGAAAGTTGCTGACAACTGTGCATTACCACCTACAACTGTGTTGCTGAAACCAGAGCAGGTTGTTTCTGGAGTTCCTAATAGTGAAGGTTTTAAGGTTGTTTCTACAGGGTTTGATAGTTTGGTGACCGATGCCAGCTCATTTTCAAAGCCTACTGTGCTTGAAGGGACAGTTGCTGAAGCCACAGAGGACCCATTTGCAAGAATTAAAGCAACGACACCATTAAGAAAGCTGTTTTCGATTGAACACAGCCCTCCAAGTGATAAGTTTCGTGAGCAGGCTACCTGGGCTTTAGGAAAGGTTTCTTGTGATGACCCAGGTTGTAGCGATCAAGGTCTTGGTCATGGTGCAATCCTACCATTGCTAGTTCCGTCAAATGAGCATTCAGAGCTTTTTATGTTGATAAATTCTACAGGGATTTTATCAAACTCATGGCGATGCAGGACACCAACTCCATTTACCCTTTTCAAAGGTGTATTGCCAGTTTATCAGCCATTCGTCCCTATGAAAGAAGAAGAAGTCTGGACTCAAGTTTGTTGGACAATACCTAATATCACTGCTGGGAGTAGAAATATTATAAATGCAATTATTGCGGCATCTATCAATATTCCCTTAGTACACCTCCTTCATAAAGAAGTTTACAGAAAGGAAGAAGCTGCAGGGGCTATATCTTGTTATGAAGAACCTGCAGGCTCTCATAATCAGAATATGTGCTTGATAAGTAACGGCTGCATTAAGATGCTCTCTGATCACTTGTTATGCCAAGATCCAAGAATTGTTACTGCATACCTTGAAGGGCTGGAGAACATTCTGAAAATAGGCAAAGGGGACAAAGAAGTTGGGTTGAATAGTGGGGTCAAGTTATGTGTGCAGATGGTTGACTCTTATGAAGGACTAGACAAGACTGCTAAATTCCAGATTCAAGACAACAATGAGCTCTATGAAAAGGCTGAGAAGACCGTAGAGAAATGCTGGTCTGAAGAAGGGAGGATTAAGGGTCAAGTGCTGAAGATAGGGATACAAAAATCAACAATATATTGGGAAGGAAGAGGCTCCAGGATGAAGAGGAAGTTCAAGATCAAGAAGATCAAGGCTGTGTCCTATCGCCCACCTTGAGGACAAGGTGGTTTTTCAAGGGGGGAGATATGATAGGGCCCTGGGCTGTAGAGAATAATGATAATAATAGTGATAGATTGATATTGAATAAGTTTGGTATTGTATAAATAAGTATTTTGGGCCATGTCATATAATATGGGCTGGCCCGTTAGAATAGAGTACTATAAGAGATAGAAGTACTATAAGAGATAGAAGGAAGGGAGGAAAGTGGTAGGCAGAATTTTAGACTTGGGCTGGGAATTCTGGGAGAGATAGGCTGCTCGAAGTGCCTAAACCTGTATCGTTTCATTCCTGTTCATCAACTACGTTCATAATAAACAACCATTTCCCTCCTTCGATCCTGGTATCTATCACATTCCTAGCACCACCAAAACACTTAGGGTCTGTTTAAATGAAGTGTTCACAAGTGTTAGTATTGGAATTGTTAATGAGTGTTTAGTTCAACACTTGTTCGGGAGAAAAGTTTTTAAAAAATAGAGGTGTTAATAAGTGTTTGAGTGTGTTGACCATAACCTTCATAACACTTGTATTTATCATTTTTGTAACACCCCAATTTGGGGTGTAATGAAGTGTTGGACAACTTGTGCCTTTCATATTTCAAAAATATATTGAACCTACGTACATTCTCCTTCTCCGGTTTATCTCTTTCCTTTCCTCCAATTTTTCATTCATCTTTTTGTATAGAAAATTCACATGTTAGTATATATTGCTCCTTCGATTTTAAATATTGTCTCTGCTCCAATCGACTTTGGCCGTTCAGTTCTCGACGGCATCAATGGACTTTGCCTGTTGAGTATGAGATGATGCAATATCGTGCCATACTGTTCAGTCTTATTACGATTTTTTATTCTTGTTCTTCATAGTGGCATCAGATTTGGAAATATTTGCATTGATTATAATATATAATAGAAAATCGTAAAATGATAAATTAGTTTTTGGATTAAGTGAACACCAAAAACACAGAGAACAACAAATGATAAATTAGTTTTTGGATCAAGAATCCTAAAATGGAATTGTATGTTTCTGCATGCGTGAATTGCTGATCTTCTCCAAGCATGCTATTCAGGAAATTTGGGTTTTGGACCATTATGTATTTGCAGAAATATATATATATATATATATATATATATATATATAATATTATTGGAACTTAATAATTTAAAGATTGTAGGGTTATTTTTGTCAATTTAAGTGAAAACACTTCCATTACTAACACTTCATTTTTTAACTCTCCCAAACAAGGTAAGTTTATGTTTTACACCTACATTTACCTTCCGTTACGGGTCCCTGCCAACCCTTACTAACACTTCCATTACTAACACCTTTCAACATCTTGATCTTCGAAGAACCAGCATCCATGCCATGACGAGAACTTGATACCATTGCTTTCCTCAAAATCATCACTTTGGTTTTCAGCATCTCATTTGCATTCTCAAATGCCATCTTGAGGCCTCAAGGCATTCAAGCCAATCCGACACGGGGTTGAGTCCTTCCTCAATAAGCGCTTGAATGAATATCTTCGCTATATCCTGAGTCCTGACTATCTTGGTCGCTAATAGACGATGTGCTATCACTAGCCATGTTCGGACACCAATTGTTACACATTAAATTTCGTTACTTTGAAATTTCACTTGCGCGGCCTATCTTAACACTTAGATAGTCAGCTTTACTCACAAACACGCTTACTTAGTGTTTAGGGACGTTTAGAACACTTAAGGAAATATTTAAGGAACACACACTTTACGGTCCAAGACCAACCTTGTATTACTAAGGATGTTTTTACTTGGACTGTAGTTTGCTGGTCTGATATGGTTTCTTTGTATTTTTATAACTACCAAGTCTGGTCTGGTCTGGTCTGATCTGGTCTGGGACGAATTACAGTCCAAGTAAAAACATCCTAACTCAAGAATACACAGGAATATACAAAGCCCAATGCCACACACTATCTTTTGTCTACAAAATTCATGGCATGGCATGGTCTATTTTTAGACTTGACCAAGTCTAGACTGTCTAGCAGTCACAAGCCAACTTCCTAGCCGTCTAGTCTAAAGGGACGTGGCTTTACAAAGGGTTGGCAATTATAGCCGTCAACTGCCAATGTCACCCATTCAGCCATGGCATCTGTTACTGTTAACCCAAAACCAGCTTTTCCATTCAGACATGAGTCATGCCTGCACCAAAGAGACTCACCCGTTCGAGTTTGCACCCACGCTGGCGCCCACACCAGGCCACCCGCGAGCCAACTCTTCCTTTTCTTAGTTTTTGTGATCAATCCTCGTTGCCTTATGCGCCGCTTGCCAAAATCCCACTTGTCAGCCGACCAACCAACACTTGATTCCACTGAACCGCCCTTGACCATGTCCAACCCATGATGAGCCATGTCAAGCGTTCCAAAACAAAGGCCATGCCATGCACCGTCAAGGCCAACTTGACATGCCTAATTGCATATGACCTGGCCTTGTCACAGGTATACGGATGTTTTCTTTTGGACTGTTTTCAGTCCTAGATCAGATCAGACTAGACTTAAACAGACTAAACCAGAGCAGGCTTAAACAAACCAAACCAGATTTCCGTAGTTATAAAATACACGGAGACCAGATATTTACCAGACCAGATCAAACCAACAAATTTTAGTCCAAAAGAAAACATCCTAACAGTAAGTAAAATCTCTTGATGTTTCATTAACTGTATATTTTGTATCTTTGAATAAGGAATATCTTTTGTTAATGCATGAATCATTCTAACTGATGTTATTTTTGTTTGTTCAGGCCACTTTCTTTTGACAAATCTTTTATTGGAAAAGATGAAACATACATCTCGTGAGAGCCAGAAAGAAGGGAGAATAGTCATTGTTTCTTCAGAGGCACATCGATATCCATACAAGGAAGGAATTCGGTTTGATAAAATTAATGACAAGGAAAGGTAAGTAACTAAGTATTCATAAACTACAAGCCATTATGTTCTAAAAGTTCTAATGCCTAGTGGCCTAGGTGGGGCCTAAGTGGGGCCTAAGTGGGGCCTAAAAGCTAAGTTATTTTGTTGGTGAGTACTCACTGCTCTGCCCTAAAACTTGCCGAGTTGTCTTCCTACTTGGTCTAATTCAAGAATCCACGTTATTATGCAAGTACTCGCTAATTTTAGCAACTTGGCGAGTCTGGTTACTCAGCAATTAGTTGGGTCTTAGTTAAAGTGGAATATTGAAGGTAAGATTCATCTTTATGAAATTAAAAAGAATTCAAGGACTTCAATTTAATAAATCACTATCAAGGTTTTAATAATTCATAAAACTGTAAGCATTGTGTTTGTCAACATGGAACATGATGGAGATAATGTTCTTGAACAAAACAATGATTAATTTAGGGCATAAAAAGTTAGGTTTAATTAAATGATCTGATACTCCTTAAGTACTGCATAACTTTGCTAGTTATTGTGAACATTTTTGTGGCTTTATGTATAACACTTGTAAGACTAACATTATTAGAATATTGTATCACATATATTTTTAAAATTTACTAATACAAGGTCCTAATTTGATTGAGCGCCAAGTAACAAATAATTTAACTACTTACATTAAAGTATATGCTTTTAAAATGAAATAGTGTCCCCTAAACTTTTTTTTAACACGTGCTTGTATTGTTTATAGTATTTACGTTAAATTGTATGTTGAATTGTTGATTTTAATATTTTATATTTTACTTGATAAATGTACATTGTGACTTGTGAAGATAAACTAAATACTGCTAAAAAACTCAGTAGTCGATGCTATTGTTGGTAACTTGGTATAGAACCTAAGCAGCATTTCTGTTTTTGGAATATGTTCCGTAACAACGGTGTATGATTTCAAGTGTTTTTATAATTAAATCACTTGAGCATTTGGCGACGCCTCTCAACAAAGTGTAAGTTGAGTGTTAGGGAAGTCCATCTACATGTGACATGCCATGTAATTAAAACGGAGCATTTGTTTTCTATTTGCTTCAGTTACAGTCCTTGGTATGCTTATGGACAATCAAAGCTTGCAAATGTATTGCATGCTAATGAACTTGACAGGCACCTTAAGGTAATATTACCACATTTTTATCTTTGTAACATTCTTTTATGATGTTTCAGTTTGATTTTCTGTGTTTGATAGTACTTTTCATGTAGTTTCCAGACATACAAATTTTATTTCCTAATACTAAATAAAATGTTAGCATGAAGTTATAAATAAGTTTAGTCGGCCTCCTTGTATGGATAAGACACACAAAATGAAGCAAAGAGTTACTAATACTAAATAAAATGTTAGCATAAATGAAGTTATAAATAAGTTTAGTCGGCCTCCTTGTATGGATAAGACACACAAAATGAAGCAAAGAGTGACATATATCTTTGAATGTTGTGTTGCCTGGAGAACATTACTTTTCTCATTAATGAGCACATAATATTATGTGTGTATAAACATATTCTATCTGTCCAAAAAAAGAAAGTCGTAGTATTTTAGTAAAGCCATGACTTTTTTCAGGACAAAGTTGATTACATTATAGCCACATACTATCTATATCTTTTCATGCAGGAAGAAAGGGTGGAGATTACTGCTAATTCACTTCATCCAGGAGCAATCACCACAAACCTTTTTCGCCATCTCAGTTTCATCCATGGTAAAACTTTCAATTTCTGAAAGATGTATCTTAGTGATCCATGATGGTCATGCTCCATGAATTCATGTTGAGTATTAATTATCAAATCTTGTAATTAAAGATGACTCCAATAATGTGATATAGCATCTCAGATTCTCAGTGAAGTTTTGCCACTACTCGCTATGCATCTCCGCATTCACATTAATATATAATACTAATGTAATAGAGCATCGGAGTGAAACGGTTCTCAATATGTGAGAATTGCCCAACGTTGTTTCTTAATCTATATATAGTTAGACAATGTGATATACTGCCCTTAATAATGAGCTTGTCATCATCTCGTCCGCCGCTTCCATTGCCTTCGCCGCAGGTTCGTTCCCCCTCCTCCTCTTCTACTTCTTCTGCCCGATCCTCAAATGTGCGATGGAGATTGAGGTGCGCGCTAGTTAGGGTTTGGTGACTGAGGATGAAGACTCGGTTATGGGCCTATGGCGTCTATGGTTCGTCTAGAGTGTGAGATTCGACAGCAGTGCCAAGGGTTGGTTGAGTGGCATGGCGAATTCGAGCGGCAAGCCGAAAACTTAACAATGCCGGCTAGGGTTAGAGGAAGCAGGTGGCTGCAGTGCGACTACCGCTAATGGTTAACATCTTGGCGGTTTTGTGTGGCGTCAATGGGTTGCTAGGTACTGTCAGGCTGGGTGAGGCTAGGGGCGGGTGTGGCAAAGGGCAGCACTAGGGGCTGGTGGGGTAGGGGATGGGACTGGTATAGGAGGGGCGGCGAGGGGTTGGGGCAGTTTTACAGGGGTGGCTGACAACTGGACGGGGCAACGACGGTGGTCAGTTGTCACCGAAAGGGACAGGGTGGCAGTCACTAGACGGGGTGGGCGGTGGTGCGGCGGTGGTTTGGTGATTGTAAGTTGTAACTATAAGTGGCTGGTGGAGGTTACTGGTGTGGTTGTAACTGTCACTGGCTGAAGGCGATCTCTATCACCGCTGGTTACGTTTGGTGGTCAGTGGAGGTGGTGATGGTGTGGGGGTGTGACCTACTGGTGACCGTTGGGTTGCAATAGTCAGAAGGGTAAAAATATGAGAATAGTCACATTTTTTGGAATTTTTAAACTTCGTTCTATTTTTGTCCATGACTTTTAGGATGATTTTAATTGAATTGGTTTCAATTCCATATTAGACTAGACCATACATGACTAGACTTCGACAGTTGTAAAATACACATTAAATAGATGTGTATCAGTTTAGACTGGACCAAGCCAGACTTAAATAGATCAGACCAGAAAATTATAGTCCATTAAAAACATCCGTTCAGTATTATTTATGTCAAAACCTCAAAAGTTTTAAACTACAAGAAGATTCATTTATGACTTGGTAAGAATTGTATGCCAAAAGTAAGGACATGTTGACTTAGACTTATTTCTGCTACAATTTGACCGACCAGAATACTCCTAAACAGAATAGATTATACTAGAACAGACTAGACGAAATTTAATAAAACACAAACATACAATGCCAAACAAATTTAAACAGACTAGATGAGTAACTTTTCGGTACAAGAGGTCTTTCAAAAAGTTGTTGCTCGACTCTTTCTATGTGACAGAGGCAGTAATACTTTACACTGAATTTCATATCATGTGTGCTAATGTACTATAGTTAGGATAAGTGGAGAAAGTTCCTTTGTGGTTAGATTGTAGAGGTATTCATCGTTTGATAGGACCTGAATGTACCATCGAGGAAACCTTGGATAGTACCTGCCTGGTTCCGCACCTCTTGAGGTTTTCAGTGAACGCCGAATGGTCTTTTAGTTTCAATGACTTCTGGGCACGGGTGCCATTCTTGTATCGATTCAATAGACTTATTTCAAAGTACTTAAACCCAAGTGCGTAACTTTTTCATATGGGAGCGTAGACATTTGGCATTTCATAGACTGAACTACTGATTTTATGGGTCTGATTTTATCTTCTCATAGGTGCTGTCAAATTCATAGGCAAATACGTGCTCAAAAATATTCCACAGGTACTTCCTTTTCATTCTATTGTTCGACAAAGTATGTTTTCTGATAGCATCTGACTTGATGAGGCAAGTATAACCAATTATGCACCAGTACTTCCACTAGAGCACATATATACACATATATGTATATAATTACTATATATGCACTTACATAGTACATATGTGTGTGTATCTAGGGATCTGCAAGTATGGTTGTTCTCTTTTTAAAATGACTTCCTTCTGTGCTACGTAGGGAGCGGCGACTACGTGCTATGTGGCATTACACCCGCAAGTTAAGGGAGTAAGCGGTGAGTACTTCTCAGACAGTAACATAGCCAAACAGAGCTCTCACGCTAAGGACTCTGGTTTGGCCAAGAAGCTATGGGTGTTCAGTTTGAATTTGATAAGCTCCTAATAATGATGTGTTGAGCTCTTGAGTTGAACAAAATGAACTCAATGATGGTACAGTATATGGAATTGCAGAGTTTAAAAGGTGGTTCACTTTTTTTATATGTTTTATTATATTGCCATTAAGAATAATATTTACAATTTGAGCACTACTATATAAAATACTTATTTGGTTGGATAATGTCGAGGGCTGTAGTCGTGAGCAAAAAAATTGTGGTGGGTCAATACAAAGATTTTTCCAGAAAAAGCTTTATAATTAAAATACAAACTTTTTTCAAATTTCAGGTGGTCTGGAGCTCGGTTAAGCCCTCTTCCTCCGCCCATGATAATGTCATGTATACAAAAGCTTAGTTTTCCCTAAAATAAATACGAACTTGAACTTCGACATGTCATGATAATGGTAGTGTTTTATTACGTAGTATTATTTTTTGTTAGTCTCCTGTCAATTAATATCTTGTTTAATAAACTCAACTTGCTCAATTGGGGTTGCTGAGGGGTTTCTGGTTCAAAATGATTTATAGAACTTGTTTTAGTTTAAGTCATTCAATTTTAGTAGCCGTATGCAAGTGTTAGGCTGTGTTTGCAACAGTTTCTCAGAAGCACTTTTCTTCTTATTTGCTAGAAAAGCCAAAACTTGTGTTTGCAAAAGGGAGCTTCTACTTATTTTTAATCAAATTTACGTGAAAAGCCAGAAGCAGCATTTGGGTTTCTTTTATCTGATTCTTGGTGATCTGGTAATAGTAGCAACTTGGGGGAAGATTATATTTATAATCAAGTGTTTATTCCGTAAATGTCCATATCTTCTCCCTGTATCTGTGCCGCCCTACACGTCTTCCCCAACCTTAGCTATTCATTCAAACAACTCAGGGTTTTAATAGCAGAGGAATCTTTCAATTCTTTAATTTATCCACTCAAGCATGAGCACATTAATCTACAAATTAGTTCCAACATGTAACATAATTTATATATATACTCCCTTTGTATTTATATGTTCCCTACATTTGCTTTTGGCACAATATTTTAGGATATAATAGTAACGGTAGTGAATAGTGTAGAAAAAGTATGAGACCGTGTGTAAAAGTATGAAAGAGAAGATAAAAAGTAGATAAAGTAAAAGTGTAGGGAACTTTTAAATACATCCCAAAATGGAAAGTGTAAAGAACTTTCAATTAGGGAGTGACCGAGTGAGTATAATAACAAAATAGTGGGAGCAGAGTTTGGGTGGGAAGACTAGCTAACATTTTTTTGCTTTTCGTATTCCGTTGGCGGTTTCATTAATTGTGTGTGTTGGTGGCCAATTGCTGTATAAAGTATTGTTGTGTGTAAATAATGACAAGTTGGCCGCATTACTGAACGGTAATTAAAGTTGTGAACCTTTAGTTTTGGTCTTAACTCTTAACTCTTAACATGACAATGACAAGTTTCATATAGAGGTGTTTTTTTCTTTCAAAAAAGACGTTTCCGCTTTTACCACACCATTGTACCCCATTAAAGATTTAAAGAGATTTTTTCAATGCAATACATTAAAAACGACACAAAATGTGGCTTTTCGAATTCCAATGCTTCATTTTAATTGATTAAGAAGCTTTTCTTATTTTTATTATCAGAATCATTCAGATTAGAAAGATTCAGAGCAGATCAGAAGCATTCAGATCAGATCAGATCAGAAAATTTTAAACATGATTTATCACTTTTATTATTATAAAATAATAATAATAATAACAATAATAATTGTTATTATTATTATTATTACTATTATTGTCGCTATTATTATTATTATTATTATTATTATTATTATTATTATTATTATTATTATTATTATTATTATTATTATTATTATTATTATTATTATTATTATTATTATTATTATTATTATTATTATTATTATTATTATTATTATTATTATTATTATTATTATTATTATTATTATTATTATTATTATTATTATTATTATTATTATTATTATTATTATTATTATTATTATTATTATTATTATTATTATTATTATTATTATTATTATTATTATTATTATTATTATTATTATTATTATTATTATTATTATTATTATTATTATTATTATTATTATTATTATTATTATTATTATTATTATTATTATTATTATTATTATTATTATTATTATTATTATTATTATTATTATTATTATTTTGTTGATGTTATTATTGTTGTTATTACTTTTATTATTGCTATTATTATTATTATTTTTATTATTACTATTATCATTACTATTATTACAATTTTTACTATTATAATTATTATTTTTATTAGTTTTATTATTATTACTCCATATTATTATAAATATGATTATTATTATTTTTATTATTGTTATTATTACTATTATCATTACTATTATTACTATTTTTACTATTATAATTATTATTTTTATTAGCTTTATTATTATTATTATTACTCCATATTATTATAATATTATTATTATTATTATTATTATTATTATTATTATTATTATTATTATTATTATTATTATTATCATTATAAATATTATTATTACTCTTACTCTTACTCTTACTATTACTATTACTATTACTATTACTATTATACAGAGTAATTATAACTTGAATTACAATTATAATTATAATTATTATTATAGAAATAAATATTATAATTACAATTATAATTATAGCTATAATTATAATTAGGGGTAGTAGTAGGTATAACTTTTTATAACTTTAATTATAATTATAATTATAATTATAATTGTAATTATAATTATAATTCTTTAAAATAATTATAATTAGGGGTAGTAGTAGGTATAATTTTTTATAACTTTAATTATAATTATAATTATAATTGTAATTATAATTATAATTATAATTGTAATTATAATTGTAATTCTTTAGAATTATGACTATAATTATAATATTATTCAAATTATAATTATAATTATAATTAAAGAAATATTCAAATCAGATCAGATCAGAAAGATTCAGATCAAATCAGACCAGATCAGAAAGATTCAGATCAGATCATACCAGATCAGAAAAATTTTGATCAGATCAAATCAGAAAAATTCAGATCAGTTCAGATCAGAACTTAATAAATTTAGATTAGAAACATTCAGATCAGACAAAGAGAACATCTTCTAATATTTTTATTTGGAAGCAGGAAGTACACCTCTCCGTCTTTGAATGGTATTTCAGTAAACACGTATTTTCTGATATATTGCACTTTGTACTTTTTTTATAGGGAAAACTGTCAAATGAGTCCACATGCTATATTGAAACAGTCAATTGAATCAATATAGGGAAAAGTGTCAAATAGGCCCCCCTACTAATATGGAAAGTCAATTAAACCCCTGAACTAAATATAACAAGGCAAAACAGTCCTTTTAGCAGGATATTAAGCGGTTAAAAAGAGATAAGGTAAAAAGGAAAGAAAGAGAAAAAGAGAATGTAAAACATGTCACATCATTAGCCACACATGCAACTTAACCGGGAACGGTTAATATCCTGCCAAAAGGACGGTTTTGCCTCATTATATTTAGTTCGGGGGTTTAATTGAATGTTTTTTTTAGTTCGGAGGCTTAATTGACTTTTTCGTATTAGTAGGTGGATCTATTTGACACTTTTCCCAATCCATATACTATTTTATCAATCAAATGGGTATACAAAGTCTCAAATTTTAATCAAATTTGCCATTTGATAGGTTAACAACTGGTGACCCGTTTTTTTGTTCATGTGTGTAGGTCACATAGGCTTTTTTTTAATACTTTTTCCTTTTTTCATTGTTCTCCCCCCCCCCCCCCCCCCCCCCCTCAGCCGACGCCTGCAACACCCCCTCCCCTAAGGTTTAACGTTTTATCACTTACACCCCTATAGTTTTAAAAATATGCAACAACCTCCCCATATTATTTGAGAGCGTTAACTTCTAACGGAAGAGTGTAACCTCAAACACCAAAGCTAGCATGCTAAATTAAAAACCATCCAAATGTTAAAATGATAAATTAGAAACCCCAGCACACATGTTTTGAATATACAAAAGCTAGTTAGAGTATCACTCTAAATAATACCCAAAAACAAAATAGACAAACTATGATCGATAATGTAAATGTGCAGTACATAGGTTCACAAGGTTGATCATATACCCATCTACTTTTTAACTCTTTTTCCTCTAGTAACACTACTTGATGCTACACTCATTTGTGATTGTTTACTTGCTTCAGGTTTTGAAGCTGCGGATGGTCTTCTCTTTTTTTTTTTTTACCCTATCAAGAAAAAAAATTGTAAATACAATGTGAGGTTAAAGAGTTATTAATAGTTTAGTGCTAGTAACAAATTAACTAAGGCATAATTAAAACGACAAACTACCGTCCAGAACATACTTTATTGAGAATAAAAACATAAACACATTATTCGTTTTTGTATTTCATAAAATTTGATATGACTTAAAAATCAGAAGTTAATTAATATGTAGTACTTACTAGCAAAAAACATATTAGACTGTTAGTTATTCACCAATATACTACCTGGTCCAGTGTTTTAAATAGCGGTCCGCTACCACTATAGCGGCCGCTATATAGCGGTCGCGGTAGGCACCGCTACCGCTACAGGTGGCTATCAGGGTGTGATTTTCAAATCACAGAAAAAATCCGCTACCGGCCGCTACCGGCACTTCCGGCAGTACATCACGGGCGGACTGGTTGACGTGCAAATGTGTAAAAGTTGTGTGCATGATGTGAAAAAATACATTAATGGTGATGAATGGAGTGAAACTCTAAATTAAATGTACATGTATGATGTATCAACATACATTATGGTAGCAAATATTAATACATATGTAAATTTTAATTATTAAAACCGAATTAATTATTAATAAGAATGATTTAACTTTAAGATCAGTTGACGAAAAAAATGTTGACTTAACAAAACAATTTGGAACGGAAGTGGTATTATTATGGATTATGCATATTCTATTATTCTTATTGATTGATTAGTTGTTAATGTTATAAGTGTTCAAACAAATATGCATAATGTTTCTATTAACTTTAACACCTACCCATTAAATATATGTTTTTCAAATTTGAAAATATTTAACGCCGCTGCAACCGCTACAAGCGGCTACAGTCCGCTATAGGCCGCTACCGAGATGACTGCTACGGCTATTTAATTCACTGACCTGGCCTATAAACATAGGCAATTCAATACTATAGTTACTCTCTGTTTTATGTGTCACTCTTTTTTTACTAACCTATTCATCTTTCATGAACTAACTCAAAAATCTAGAATACGATGTCAAATATGACTACTAATTCCTCATCATCAAAAATAACAAAAGGAATCATTCTCAATCAAAAAAACTGAAAAAGAAAAGACAAATGGCCTCTCAAATGTCTCAAATACCTCTAGGTTAGAGATAATGAGCATGGGTGAGTGAGGGTTTGTGGAAGTTTTGTTTTTACGGTACAAGGGTTTCTGAAAGTTGCATATTCAATTATGTATGCAAGTTAAATTACTACCCTTGCCGTTAAAATTGACAGTGTCAATCATAGAGGGAGGTTTTTGCATATTGTTAATACTATAGGGGTGTAATTGATAAAACGGTAAACCTCAGGGAGGAGGGTGATAATTTCCCTTCTTTTTTCCACTTTTCTTCTCCAATCTCCCTGCAACCCCTCTCCCCTATCCTTCAACCTCTTCTTCTCCACTGCTTTTACCCCACGCCCCCACCCGATTCAACATTTCAACCTCCCCCTCTATTCTTGCAATCTTGCCCACCGCCTTCTCCTTTCCCTTTTCTTTCTTTTTCCTCTTCCTTTTTCTCTTCTCCAATCCACTTCTTCTACTCCACTCAACCTTCTGTCCCCTTTTTCCATGGCCGGAGAAGGCAAACCGACTCAAACCCGAGGAAAACCCTAGATCTTCTTCAATGGCAACCAGACGGCGACAGAGAAGGTGGCGGCAGATCTCGACGCCGATGGTGATGCCGGCGGCAGATCTCGACGCCAATGGTGACGGCAGCG